AGCCATTGGCGGGGGTGCATCCGGGTACCGCGCCTGCACCCGCTTCTGTTTCAGGCCTTTGCACCAGCTGATCATGTTGATAACGGTGATCCACAGCGCGTCGATGATAATTTCCCCGAACTCGATGAGGCACAGCACCGAGCCCCCCATCCAGAACCCAAACTGGCCTCCCAGGCTCGACAGCAGCCAAACGATCTGCGGGGAGGAGAGCAGGAGTGAGCCGAGGTGGCGACCCCGGTCCCTCATCAGCCCCCGCCGATCACCCTGTGTGCTGGTGATGCCCCTGCCCCTCCTGCCCCAGGGACCTGCCCGCTGAGTCCCTCGCCTTGCGGGTGCTGCCCTGCAGGGGCTGCGCTCCCTGGTGCTGCTTCTCAGTGACCCGCCTCGCACTGGCGATGGGGATGGGAGGTGGAGGGGAAGAACGAACCCGGGACTGCGAACCAGACTGTGGAGGCGGCTTCGTCCACTTCATTGCCACGGACATGTGGAGCAGCAGCACCGAGGGACTCGGCAGACTCCCGGCTGAGGAGTGTCCCCCGACAGGGCTGATCAGCCCTGAGGAGCTGAGCCCTGCCTGTGCATCTGGGGTGACTTGTTTCTGTGTCTGCTCACCGGGCGCTGGGCAGAAGGGGCAGGGATGGGCACTCACCGTCGTGGCAGCAGACTCCGAGATGGTGCGGTAGTTGTACTCCTGGAAGTAAATGTTCAGCTTGATGATCCCGTTTCTGTAAGAGACAAACGGCAGCTCAGCACAGAGCCGGGCTGCGGGCATCCAGCGCCTCCGCTCCAACGCCTGCCTGCGGGAAGGGCTGCGCACGGCCCGGCCGGAGCTGCTCGCGAGTGTCCACTGAAACCTCTGCCAGGCGGGTGGAAGAAGTTAAAAAGTGCCACTGGCTGCGAAGGGAGGAGAGACGCGGTTCTGAGGTTCCTCCTGAAGCAGCATTTGCGCACGTGGAAGCTTCTTTGGGGCTGTTTGCTTTGCTTTTCCCAGCTGCCCTGGTTGGTCTAGAGGGGCCGTTGCCCCTCCTCGGTGCCCTGCACCTCGTGTTCCTGTGTGCACGCGCAGAGCGGCTGCGTCACGACCAACTGCGTTACAGGGGACTGAATGTGTACAGATCAGCCAATATCTGTGAAACCATTTCCTGATTCTCTAGGTTTTTTTCCTTGGGGAAAAACCCCTCTTCTTTTCCCACTAATTCAGGGTTTAGGTTTTCAAAGGGTAATTTGGCAATTACCCTAATTTTGATGCATCCCCCCCTCCTGCTGCTGCTGTTGGCAGATTCAGAAACGTCAAGTACGAAGGGATGAACGTTAGAATCCAGGAGCTGGACCCTGGCAGTTCACAGCTTCAGAGCTTCCAGACTCCTATATGCACCTGATCAGGAGTGCTGCGGTTAATGTCGATTTTAACTTAACTCACGTTTGCCTGACCCAGTTTGTCACTACGGAGAGCAGAGGATGTGCATGAAGCGTGTTTCAGATTTGCTTTATGTATCTTCCAGGCAAACGTGCCAAATCTTGTCCTCCCTTTGCATTAGCACACATGTGCTCTGGCCCATCGCCAAGGTTCATGTTAATCTAATGTTAACAGGCTCAATAGAGAAGATAAAGTGGTTGTTTCTTTCACTTACCTGTCCAGAGTCACATTTGTTGACATATCCCTTTCATAAGACAGAATATGGAAAATCCAGTCCTAGGAAAACAAAATTTATTCAGAACTGAGCAGAAGCATCCTCTCTGGGCGCCTGCTGGGGCAGGAACCCAGGGGAGCTGCAAGGGAGTTGCAGGACTCGGTGCAGGACCCCCGGGGTGGAGGAGCCGCCCTGGGGGTGTCCCTCCTCCTGTCTCGTGCCCTGGCACTAGTGTTTGTTTGCATGCTGAAAATGTGTAATTTAGCAAAGAGGCACTTGCTACCTGGACATTAGCTCTGAAAATACTGAGTGATTCATGTGGCTAAGAACAGGTAATTATTAATGAATGTTTCAAAACAAGAAATCAGCATTACCTCCGAAGCTTCAGACGGCCAGTCTGCCATGGAGATGGTCATCTTATACTGCGTGTCGCTAGGGAGAGGAGGGGAGAACATTGGTACAGAAGTTTCCCCTCCTCTGAAGTCACTGGAACTTCAGTTCTCATGCAGAAAAGCAGGCCCGCATGATTCGCTGCCATTTTAGAAAGGTCAGAATTGATGGGAGATGAAATGCAGGATCCCCTCCACCTTTACAGCTGCCAGAAATGGCTTACGTACTTACTTGCACGTTTCCTTACAAGAGTCAATACAAATCTGTCTGTGCCTTATACTTGATCTCAGTGCTGAATAGCAATATGCTGTTTGGTGAAAACAAAAAAATCAAAGCATCTGTTTAGATAAGGACCCCGCTCACTGGATTATATCAATTTCATTTAATAAAATAAATATTTAGGTATGAGCCTGCTGCACAGGTTTGCTGTCTGCCCCTCTAACCTTCCTTGCCTTGAGAAGCTCAGGCAAAGCCGTCAGACAATTTAATAATAAATTAAAAATATTTTTTTTCTGTAGACTGTTTCTATAGAGTCAGCTCGCCCGACGTCAGTGTTTTTGGCACAGCCCTGCCCAGCTGCAGGGGTAGGAGGGCTGCCTGCCGGAGCTGCCCATGCGGAGACCTGCTGCCGGTCCCTGCCTGCCTGTGGGGGAGCACCAGACCCCCCCCCACCTCTGCGTATCCTTGCAGGAGCCCATTGCCCCTGCTCGGGCCAGCTTGTCTCTGAACTCTTCAGGCATGGAGGCCTAGAGCATTACCTCTTTTTCTCCCTTTGGTACCCAGAGGGTCCCCTTACCTCCCCCGGCTGGAGCCAGCTCCCCGGGAGAGCCCTGCCCTGGGGCAGCACGGCAGCTGAGGACCCTCAGCCCACGGCCAGGACCAAGATTTCGCCCCTTCTCCCTGGCACTGACCCAAACGGCCACGAGGAGACTTTACATAGGCAAAAGCCATTCACCTGTTGCATTTACAAATAAAGCTCGTGTCCGCTCCCGCCCCTCCTGCGTGCCAGGACCCTGGGGAAGCTGTGCAATTTAGTTTTGTTCATGTTCTTACCCCAACCTGGGTTATCTTCGTTATTGCAATAATTCACCCTTTCAGGTAAAGGAAACATATAGTGACCACATCCACAGATTTCAATCATGTCGTTTTGGAAACAAGAGCGCAGGCAAGCCTGAAAAAAGGAACAGGGAGCTGCTTAGACGTGGGCTGAACCCCCCCTGCGCACCTCTGCTGCTGGAGTCTACGCTGGCTGTGAGAGTTACGCGGCCCTGAGGTATTTTCTCTCTTTTGCGCTGAACAGATGGTTTTGTGGCTGCACACAGAGAAGGCTGAAGCCGCAGAGGGAGCGGGTGCTGCCAGAGCCCATCCCCGTGCAATGGCCTGATCCCATCCTGCAGCGTGCACCGGGCATCGCCAGGCGGCACGGCAGGCTCTGGAAGCCGGTCGCACTGGCTTTACAACGGCAAGACGAGGCGGGTGGATAAGCTGCCATGTGTAGGGTTGCGCTGCAGTTACGGTTTTCTTTATGATGCATTTTTACTGCTGCTCCTCCAGATTTTAAGGTACATCTTAGCTGTAAGCTGCCCGTGGGTAAGTCACCTTGCAGGAGCAGAAGGGAACTCAGTGCCTGCGCCCAGTTGCACAAGAAACTGCTCATTTCTTCACTACTTAGAGCTTCATGGAAGTAATATGAAGTTTCCAAAAAGGAATAAAAATGTTCTACTACACCCACAGACACTGCTGTTGTCTCCAGGCTTTACACGACATACTGACAAAGGGCTGGTTTCCACTTTAAAGCCGGGACTTTAAAAATACTTCAACATAAAGAGCAGGTTTTAGAAATCTGAATTATCTTATCTGTGCATCTGCTTCTCTCCTTGAAAGGATTGCAGCCGCAGCTTCGGCAGCGTGCGAGCCGGGCTGCAGCGCTGCCATTAGCTCAGTGAGGCATGAAGTTAATCATCTGAGATTGGAGTGGGATTCTGGATGAAACAGTGCGCAAAGCAATAACAAAGTCTATGAAAAGATAATTAAATTGAACAGCTCCAGCTAGGTAGAACAACCAGAGCACTTCTGTGTGATACAAAATGCTTACAGAGTTCACTGCAATCAGGGAGTGATGGAAAAGCCAGATTTTGCTGAGAGGTCTCTGAAGTGACGTGAATTATGTGGACATAGAACCCCAGTCAGCATTTAGCAACTTTTAAGTAATAATGCAATCATTTCAAGTATTTGCTTAAACGTTATACAAGCATCTTAAAAAGTAGGGTAAAGTGGTCCAATTGTTATAATTATATAAAGGCAGAAATATAAAAAACTCTGCTAGACCAAAGCCTTCCCACTTGTCTGGGGTGTATTCTTCAGGCTTTTGTAAATAACCCCCAAAATGGTTTTGATGTTTTCCTTATTGCCAGATCTCACCCTCCAGAAATGCTTCCCCCTTATGTTATAGCCTGTTACAAATTAACCAGTGCTTAATGTTTACACTGTATTTTTCTACAGATTCAAGGTTTACAAACACTCAACTTTCTCATCCCAATTTTAAAGTGAAGAAAAGGCAAAGGTCTGTCTTCATTTCCTATACAAAACAAGCAGGCATTTTCAGGGTGAAAAATGACTTAATTCCCTTAAAGAGAAAAGGATTAAAAAGAGTAGGAGTGTTCAGGAGAGGAATCCCTCCTCTATATTCCTCTCTTGTCAGGGATAAATATTTCTCGCGGACACAAAATACGAGCTGCTTTGCACATTAGAGCAATGCCATGGCTAAAACCCGGAGCCCAACAGTTCTCCAGATAGATAGCTTATACCCTCCCAGAGCACCCCGCGCAGCAGAGGCCAGCCTGTCTCATGAAAAGTGTCACATTAACATCTCGGCAAAAGCCCCCCAGAGCCGCGGTCACCCTTCACGCTGCAGGACGGCGCCTGCGGTCGCTGCGGACGGAGCGGCGTTGCCGTCCCGGTTACGGCGGCACACGCAGCTGTGGCGATTGCTCAATAACCCCTTGAGTTCGGAGACGTTGGCCCCTTGGACATGGGTAATGACTGGAGTCCACCCCTTGCTGGTTGATCTACCTATAATTAAGAGATTTCAGCCAAGCGTGGAAATTGTAGGGGGAAAAGGTATTCTCACAGCTGAAAAAGAAATTAATTGCCTTAATGACGTGGCACGAGCAGTTACTCTTTTTAAAGGAGAAAAACTGCTCTGCAGCCTCCCGTGGCTTAGGTGGGCAGCCGGCAGAGGAGCGTCGGGCTAGCGCTGCGCCTGCAGCCGCCTGGGAGCAGGTCGGGTCCCTCCCGCTGCTGCCCGAGGTCCCTGCACAGACCCTGGGGAGGACGGGGAGCTCCGCGCTCCCCACTGGACGCTCTGGGAGATGTGTTTTCCCAGCCTTCCCTACATTATTATCCAAAGTAACTGGCGATAGGATGAGAGGAAACGGCCTCAAGTTGTGCCAGGGGAGGTTTAGATTGGACGTGAGGAAAAATGTCTTTACTGAAAGAGTGGTTAAACATTGGAACAGGCTGCCCAGGGAAGTGGTTGAGTCACCATCCCTGGAAGTATTTAAAAGACGTGTAGATGCGGCACTTAGGGACATGGTTTAGTGGGCATGGGGGTGTTGGGTCGACGGTTGGACTCGATGATCTTAGAGGTCTTTTCCAACCTTAATGATTCTGTGATTCTATGATTATTAAGGAACCGGCACTAGCCAAAGCTATTGGGAGTTTCAGCCCGTTCCAGAGGCTCTGCCCTGCACCGAAGGAGGGGGCTGCCTCCTGGCTCTGTCACCCTGGGGCTCCAGCGGTCCCCAGCACCCCCCCAGTGAAAGCAGTGCAGGGAGGGAGTGAGCCCGGGCAGGACGGGGGCAGGAGATCCCCTCGGCCGGCGCTGTGGTTCTGCCCTCTGAGCCGAGGCAGTAACCGACTGGTGCGTGGCGGCAACCGGGGCTGCTCGGGGAGCCAAAAGCGGGGGGGAACTGAAGAACCGGTGGTTTTTAGGGGACCAAGGGGCCCAGGCGCACCCTGCTCTCGCTTTGCCTGCTTTTCAGGATGAGTGGGAACCCTTCACTTTGGGGAGCCGAGCTCTGAGGCAACAGGGTACAAGGAAAGGACCAGCGTTAAACTGCGCTCACACGTGGAGGTAAAAATACTTGCTTTTTTGTCTGCCAGTTAGCACTTTGCTGGTAGGTCACACATAGCAGGGTCCCGTGTAACAACAGAGATCCTGGGAGGTTTGCTGTGTTTCGGCTTTTGAGAAAATGACAGAAATGACCGTGTTCATCCCTCTCAAAATGAAACAAAATTCATACCTGGCTAAGGGAACAATAATTGCTGATGCCCTTACCTGGCCGTACGAGCTGTTTTGGTATCAGAATGAAACCCGAAGATTACGCTGAACTGTGCTGCCTGCCAAAGCAATGTTCCTTATCTTTTGATGCAAGTTTTAATACCTGCATCGTTAGGTCTTGTTCCTGCAACACACAGTTATTTCCACTGGATCCACTGGGATCGTTTCCAAACCTGGGGCTAGTGAGTGTTCAGACTCGAGTGCTGGTTTATTACCAGAAAAGAAGGTTCCTGTACTTGGGTTATGCTTTCTACTTCATCATTGCTGATGCTCCAGTAATCCTGCATGCTAGTCAAAGATTTTAACTGCTTTGATGATTTTTCCTAAACAGCCTTGTTTGATTTAAAAACGTGTTTTACCTGTATGGAATAGGAAGTATTGTATTGGCTATAGAGATTTTTTACGGGGACATCAGACCCGTTCATGGTGCAGTCGCTGTAGGGATAGCCCATCCGTTCCAGTTCATCCTGAAAGAAAACCAAAACGGCAAACTTCAGTAGTCATCGCCCCTCCCCAGGTCCCTGATGCCCATTTTCCAGAGACTCTGTAATTCCTGTATTCCCTGCTGGCTTTGAAAAAAAAAAATCAAAGAATTGTAGGCGGCAGAGCTGAAAGAGATGCAGCCCGTTCCCCAGGGCGGATCGAGGCAGATGAGGGTGTTCAAGAGCAGCATGTTTTAGCAAGGCACCTTCTGACATGCTAAAGGAAGCGGGAACAATGACCCGAGCTCAATATTTTGGCTCAATAAAGCACTTTGCCAGGACAGTTACATAAAAGTCTCCATAAATTGTTCCAGCCCACAGCTAGCGTATACCTTGACTCTTTTGGTTTGAGCCAGTTCAGCCAAGACTTAAAACAAACTTGGTTGCAGTCCCATCAGATAACAATATTCTCAGACAATCTGCTCTAGAGGAATGCCACACATACCACTAACACGCCGATGGAGGTTTCCGTCCCAGCCATTGCATAGATGCCCTGATCCTTAAGGAAGGGGAAGCTCTTCTGCTGATGCAGCATGAGCCTGGCCCCGGCAGCAGACGACAGGTAGGGGATATAGTCTTGCTGGCTGATGTCCAGAATTAGCTTCAGCCCTGGGACACCAGACAAAACACTCAGAACAAGAAATGTATTGAAATGCGAGTCTTTGGAAAAAAAACGGAGTCTATTTTCTTCTCGCTGTGCACAGAAATCTCTGTTCCCTGGGGAAGGGCCGGGGTCTGGCTGTCACAGCAGCCTTACGTGTGCATAGATAGGCATGATGGCGAATGCACAGAATGGAAATATCTGAGTGAATATTCAGATGCTGCCTCAGATATTTCGGCTATCCAGATGTTGCACTTCTATTACGTGTAACATCTGTAGTTACATTACTTTCTTCCACTAATTTCCCTTTTGGGGGCTTACCCCCTTCTGGAAAGCCATTACTCCCTGCTGTAGTGCTCCAGAGACACAGAAATCATAGATCTGTCATATGTAACAGAAGTGGCCACTGAGAGACAAAATAACTCCCAGCCCTTGTTCCTTTAGCTCCTTCCTCCTTAGCAGGGCTCTCTCTTACCAAACTCGGCTCCGGGGTTGGAAGAATTCAAAGCCTCTTCGTCCATGCCCCAGTTAAAGATGTAGCAGTTACCGTGGTCTGGGTGATAGATTTGGGTGAAATTCCTGGAAGAATCATGCACATAAAACTGTGACTCTCAGGGAGGACTAAAGGGTTATAAAATAAAGCATCTGGTGGAACCAGAGCTTGGCAGCTATGTCTGGGATTCACTTTAAATTGCTTCGTTTGTTGAATGCCTGTATAGAAATTTCAGCTGATATAATTTCAATCAATCTGCTCTTGAAAAAAAAGCAAAACAAGGTACTGGTGTGTACTGAGACACAGCCACTGGGGATAACGCTTTGTCGGAATGGAAAGGAATAGTCTGTCACACAGATGAGAGAAATAATTGCTTGATCTGAGCTATGGTAACAGGTTTTAGCTGGTGTTATATCTCATTCTTTGACAATAAGTCTCCGTTGGCCTCTTTGCAGAAGGGGCAGGACTCCTTGCAGCCTGGGCTGCTGCTATGTGTTCACGTTTGTCAAAACTGGATATATAGATTTGGCATTCGTAAGAAACAACGATGGCTAAAACGCATTTCTCAGAGCCTTGTGTAAAAAGAGTGGGGGCTGTAACTGGGGGTTGCGCTGCTGTGCCAGGGGTACGCTGACTCAGCACCTGGGCCGGCAGCTGGTTATCACTAAATACCCTGGGAAGGTCCCACGGATGCTGTTAGTCTCGATATGTCATGAGCAGAACGGCCCATCTAAAACTAAAACTCAAGCCAGCGCTATCCTAAAATAACCCGTTTCAGCCAGGATTGCATCCAGAATCCCTCTGGGAAATGTTGTCCAAGTTAAGGACCAGCTGAAACCTCTTTATTAACTGATACATACCTTAAAAAGAGAAAAGAAAAAGGCTGTCATGCCTTTAGCGTCCCGTACCATTCCTGATGTGACAGAAAAGGGCAGGGAGCTCGGTATGCACCTACTTGTAGTTGCAGGGTTCCGCCCCATAGAGACACGCCAGGATCATGTCTTCTGCCTGGTAGCCCATCCTGATTCTCTCTTGCAGCGGGACTTTGGAGAGGATGCTCGTGGACTGCAGGATGTACCACTCGGTCACCGCCTGTGCCGCGCTGGTGAAGTTCCTGTAGGTGCAGTTGTCGGAGCCCTGATGGCTGCACTGGGGACAGACAGCAGGCAGGTCTGAGCCCGTCCCGCGGGTGGGGACGGCAGGAGGGACGTACGGCGTGCGTGCTGCGGAGCCAGCTGTCACATCTGCATGTGTTTACAGACGGGCCCCTCCCCAGGGAGGTTTCCCAGCTGGGCAGATTCTCCATCGGTCCCAGCGTTACCTCCACAAGCTTACAGAAAACGTCACTTTTTGGCCAATTCTTTAAGGCTGGAGTCGCCCCAGCTTCCAAGGTCTGGTCAGGCAGGGTCCTTGAAGCCTCCGTGGGAGCAGAGGGTGGGGGGTCGTGAGACCACCATGTGCCTCTGTGCTGAGGACCACAGCAGGAGAGGGGCAGGGGCAGCAGCCGCAGCCTCTGCCTGGCATTTTGGGTGCTGGACCCAAGGAAAAGGTGAAGGCGGCAGGGAGCCTGCGTGGAGCACTTCTGCCCTGGCTCTGCCCTGGGCTCAGCCCGCAGCAGGGCTGCGCTGGGTGACCCCAGAGGATGTACGGCATTGTCCTCTGCGCTGCGGGCAGACTCCACCGACCAACGCTGTGCACAGCTCGGTTACTGCCTGTTGCCGCCCAGCATTTCCAGCATCCCCCTCGCCAGAGGCTGACGGACCCGCTGGCAGGATCCACCCTGTACCTCCGATGCGGTGCTAGGCTGCTACGCGCTGTCAGTCCCTTTTTCTATGAGGAACCTGCTGATCTTGCTGATGCTATGCAGCTACCTACATTCATCATGGACTAACAACACAGCTCCTTGCTGGGTTTCCTTTCATTTAAGGAAGCATATTTAGGGTATGATCCTGCTGCAGGCCCCATGTGCAGAAATCCAGCAGCTTCAGCTGGATGTCTGGCTGTGTAACCTGCAGGGGATCAGACCCCCTCTGAAATTTTAAAAACTTCTTAAAATACCTCGGTGCTGCCTTCCTCAAAAAAACAAGCAAACAGCCCCGGAGCCCTGAAATAACATGTCATAACTTGCAAACTCCCCTGTACCGAGGATGCCACCAGCATGGGCAGCCCCCGGCCCCAGACCAGCCGGCCCAGAGCCCCGAGACAGAGCAGCTGCGGGCAGCTGGTGGGGAAGAGACACCGATCTCCACGCTGCATCCCTGCCGAGGCGCCCAGCGCTGCCCGTCCCTCACCCCTCCCGGCTGCCTCCCGTGGGACCCCTCTCACCAGCTTCACCGCCAGCTTGTACTTCTTTTCTTCTGACGTCGTGTTGGCTTGGGCAGGTGGAGCAGCAGTTTGGTTGTCTGCAGCCGTTTGGTTGCCCGCAGCAGTTTGGTTGTCTGCAGCGGTTTGGTTGTCCAGAGCAGTCTGATTGCTCTCAAAGATGTCCACGATGACGGGGTTGTCTTTGTCGTGCTCGTCGATGAGGACCAGCGGTATCTGGTGCCAGAGCTCCAGGTCGAGCGGCGGGGAGGCGTTCTCGCTGCTGTTCCCCGGCGTGGGCTGCAGGATCCTCTCCAGCGCCACTTCGATGAGCCTGTCCAGTTCTTTCAGCAGATGCTTCACCTCTGAGTATCTGCAGGACAAAGGGCGGTTACCAGGCAGCGTCAAGGCGGTGGGGACGTGCAGCAGCTCATCTGCCGCTCCGCTGGCTTGGACCTTCCCGGGGACCTCGGATCGCTGCCCAAAGATTTACTGGAGAACGAAGGGAGCCTCCGTGCAGAGCACGGCCAGCTCGGACACAGGCACCCCAGCAGCCTGCAGTCGGGCAGAAAACCAGTGGGAGGATAAACAGGGAGCGCTGTGGTGGTGAACAGTGTTCTGTCAGTGCAGAAGTGAATTGGTTGTATTTCAGTAATTCACTATAGTTTACACAAAACATCTCTAGCAAGCAGAGATGAAAAAACACCAGAGTAATTCCTGTGTGTCGGTCGAGAGCATCTTGCCTTGGGCTACACTATTGCATGGATATAAATTTGAAGCAACTCTAACAAAAATCAGTTGCTCCTTTGAAATGACGATCGAGTTATATAACTGCAGCTCCCAGCTGATACTACTGTTTAACAAGCTCTTAATGGCCGGAGCGCAAGCGATAAGAGGTACGTTCACGGCGAGGAAGGAGAAAGAAAAGAATTGTGGGGAAAGATCGAGAGACTGATTTTGGTTGTGACAAGTGAGTTGAACTTCGAGTTTTCCCTGAGCCAGGGAAAGTTTACAGGGAGGCAATAACCATCCTTAGATTAACTGATACAGTAAGGAAACCCAGGCAAACTCACAGGCACACGAACCCTCCTCTGGACCTGAGCCGTTCGCCCTTATGTTGTCCTCCTTTATTTGGTTTTTAGTGCCACTTGGTGAGTCAAAGGATCATTTCCATTGATGCTCCTAACATGGCTCCGCAGTACCTTACGCTAGCCATATAACGGAGGGTGTTAAAGCACGACTGGGTAAATTAGGTGAAGAAAAACTTACTTGAAAGGGTTGGCGTTGCAGACCGTGACTGCTGGGAACTTCATGGTCTTAAAGCCAATAGAGAGAGATGACGTGACGTTATAGGAGAGGTAGGTGTTAATGAGGATGCCCCACTGCCAGAAGACCAGAGACGCAAAGAGCAGCGTTAGGAAGAACCAGATTAATTTCTTCTTTGGCCCCTCTTTGATGATGCGCTTTGGGCCGTGGGTGTTGGTGTTGTCGCAGTACCAGACCAGCAGCTCCTTGTAGGTGTAACCAGGGCCCTTCTGCAGGCGGTGCAGCGCCCGAATGAAGTACTTCTTCAGGTTCATGCTGCTGTCTGCGGGTGGGAGAAAAGGCATCAAAACAGCTACGTTGAGAGGCAAGGCTTGTATTACGCCAAGCGTACCTGTATTGTCAGCAAAGCAGAACTGGCGTAGTTATGTGATGGCACGACCGTGGTTTTATAACCCAGGAGAAGTTCAGAGCAGATGTTCTGCAGGGTCACACCATGGCGGTGCAATGGCATGGAGCCCCTCATCTCCTGAGAGGGTACAAGGGGGAGGTTTGTGCTTTGCAGTTCCAAAAGTGGTGAATGTTTCTGTCACGTCCCTTCTGGCCCCAGGAGGGTTAAGTGAGTTGGACCTGCTGGACATGGCTGTGCCTGCGGTGACTTACAGAGTACTGGCCCCCGGGCTGTGCAGATGTTGCAGTAAATAACAAGACAACTTTTTAGGAAGTCGGTGTTTTGTGTGCAAACTGGTCTGTCTCTAACATTGTCTGAAACCTTTGCCAACACTAGACGGACCAAGCAGTACACACCTGAGCTGGTTTCAGGTAGAATTCAGGCTAACAGTGTTTAGTATTCAAGCTAATACAGGGCTTAAGACAATTTTTCTTAAAAGTGGCGAGTATTACAGTGCACCAGGCTATCGGAGCGGGCAGGAGAAGAGGACGTGGAACCAGCAGCACCTTTCCCAGGACCAGGAATGCTGTTCAGTGCTGCTGCCCGCCAGAGGAAGGACAACGGATTGGTTTTTTCCACCAGATTCCTTTGTCTTTCAGATACTATCGGTATGCTTCCACTGCTCATGTGAGGGATGCTGCATATTTTACATTCATATTGTGAGTAAATAGAACATTTTGTGCTGCTATTTTAAGGTGAGAATTTGTGTTACTAAATCTTAATATCCCGAGGCAGGATTTCAAAACAAACCCAAGTCAGCTGCTTAGAACATTTTTCAGATTTAAACTGTAGGAGAACAGAATTAAAGATTAATGCTGCGTATCACTCAGCATCCTAGAAGAAAGTGCTGAAATAATACACCAATATTTCAATAGTGAGCAGTACTCAGCAATGCAGAAACTAGATTAAAACAAAGTGACTTGTAGATAGACTACCAAAGGTACAAAAGGAAGCTGAAGGATGCGCACAGGCCTCTTGGGGAGCGGGAGCAACTGTGTCCTTCTTACTTTTCAAAAAAAAAAAAAGGTAATACTGATTCATTGATTTATTGGCCAGATCTGCAAAATCTCCCGAGTAGTATATACAGAGTTTGATAACAGTGTAAAACCAATAGATTTTATGATGCAAAGAGATATGATGATCTTCATCGCACACCCCATTACATGTGATGTTAGACGTAGCCTAACACCATGAGGTCTCGATGGGAGAGTGCTTTGGAAAGAAGAAACTTCAGCTGCTTCCTCCGAGATCTGAGGGCAGGCTCTACTCTCGTGTGAAAGCGTTTTGTTCTCCAAGGAACACGTGTCCTGGGACTTGGACCTCCTGGACCTCCCAGACCCTCAACCCACCAGCGCATCATCAGCTCATCCTCCGTGAACTCGTGCCACAGAGGTTCCCACCCACAGCTGCCTGCAGAAGGGTTTATTCACAGGAGGAGCTTACATTGCATCAGATGCTTGCTGGCTTTTGGGCAGGACTATAACGAAAACAGGAGCAACGACCTTAGCCTCTGCTTAATCACCCGCGGCTGAAGGGAAGACATGAAACACGCGCGGCTGTTCTGCCCAAGCCTTCTGCTGCCGGGTGTGAACACAAACCCATCTCAAGGAACAGCCTCAAGATTGGTCTCTGCTTTATAAAACGGTATTGTCAAAATACATTTAAATCCAGAGAGACTAGCAAGGCAAACTAGTAAATATTTTCCACCGTTTAAGAAATCCAATAAAAGATTTAGATTAGATTAAAATTTAGAACACACCTACACTGCACTGGGCAAAATCCAGCCCGGCTGGACCTGACTGGCTGCATGCCCTGCAGCCTCTGTTTGCTCTGCTGCTCACAGACCGCGCCGGCCAAACGCGGAGCGTGGGCTCCAGCCGAGAGTCTGAGACCTGCCACGGAGGGATCCCGGTTTGTACAGATCTTTGTGGGTTGCTCATCAACCTGACATTGCTGTAAGAAGTTATTATTTCTTTTTATATTGTTTCCTGAGGCTGAATTTTAGCTTTTTTTTTCCTGATGGCAATGTTGAGACACATACTTATGGTTTCAGGAGCACACGCAGAGTAAAAGCTCTACTTTCATGTCTGAGTAAAGTTAAAGACACTGAACGGCTAATTTTGATGCTGCTTTATCTTTGTTCATGGTTTTGCAGGATTCATCGATACGCTTATTCTTCACCTTGAATTTATCTCCATTTAAGCACCTAACCTGAGAGTGCATTGCAAAGTCACAGTATGCTTGCTAGCGATAGCAATGGGAAGATGCTACGCTAGGAAAGGAAGACCAGCTCCAAATCAGTTTTAAGCAAAGATTAGAGTGCTTCCAGCTCACTTCATCTCTTCAGCTCACCAACCATAAAAACACTGTGCTGAAGGGCAGCATTTTCACATTTTTAAAGTAGATTCAGGCCACGCTGTGGAAAATAAGATTAAACTAGTTTTTAGATATGTTTTAAACTGATTCAGAACACTTTTTTCCCCAGTGTCAGAGCTCCTGGGCCTGTTCTTTGCAAGCGCTGCTCCATCCCACGGCCCCGCGGGGCACCTGCCGGCGGGAGCACAGGCACGGGGACGGGGTCGGCTGGAAGAGCTGCCTCACACAGGATGCCTGCAGCATCCCCGCCCCGCCATGAAAACACACGGATCCCAAAATTAACAAGTTAACAAAGGTGTGCTGGCAATACAGCCAAGCAGATGGTCACAGGTTTTGCAGGGGACATCTTAACATGGCAGCAGAGCGAAAGACCCAGGTTTACTCTTCCTTTAGGCATAAACTGTGCTTTTAAATGGCAGGTTGTTTGATAAAAGAAACGACGTTAAGCAAAAGCTGCGCTTGACCATACTTGGATGACATTTTTTCAATCTTTTTCTGATTTTAATAGTTTTCTTCTTACCTTTATTTCCAGAATGTTTCCAAATAGAGTGCTTGTTTCTTTCCCACTGCTGAAAGCCACTCTGTGCGAGGTGCCTTGCCCGATAGGAAGCCAAAGCCCCTGTTACTGGGGGGCTCCTTGCCCTGGGCACAGAGGCTCAGTGCTCGGACGCCGTAGCTGTTCACAGGGGGTTTGGTACTGGTTTTGATGCCAGCCTGGAGCCTGTCCTGCTCTCCCCCATCAGCACGCTGTACCTGGAGCAGACGGATGACAAATGAGGGATGACAAGACCCACCCTCCGTTGGCACACAGGTAACTGTCACCCCTTCCCAAAAGCCCCTCTAGAGAAAGGGAGCGGAGGCTGCGGTGGGACAGGAGCTGAGGAGATCAGGGCTGGGGACTCAGAAGGTGCTTCCCCCTTGATGGACACGCAGCCCGGCTCCTGCTGGTGTGTGGCATGCAGGGCAGTCTCATGGTCACAAAAATCTGTCCCTGCTGCCGCCCTCAAATCCCCCGTTATTCACACAGCGTGTGAAGCTCAAGGGCCGGGACATTTGGCAGCTCCCAGCTGCCCCTCACTGGTTTTATTTCTTGTTTGGCTGCTCCACTTCCAAGGCCCTGGTCAGGCAAGGGGAACACAGACCCGTTAGGCTCCCCCACTCCTTTTCCTCCTTTGCATTTTTTATCGTCACACCGCTCCGTTTGCAGGACCGGTCTGTAATGTACGGTTAAGAACTGGCTCCGTCTCCTTTGCAGGTCAGCTGTAGCAGTGTGTTACTGCTGCTTTACAGCCCCGAGCGTCCCCGCAGCGCCTGCAGCTCACACTGTGCTCTGCAAGCACCGGCCTCGCCAGCCCGTGCTGGACCCTCTCTGGGGAACCATCGCTACTTCCCTCACCACCTCCCCACTGCCGTGCTTTGCTCTGGGCTGCCCCTTGTCAGCGCGCTGGTGTCATCTAAAATGACTTTCAGGAACGGCTCCTGGGGCCACAAGACCCCTGTGGTGCACAGGGTGCCACGTGCCCTTCTCCTGGCAGTACCCACATCCCCGTGATGACCGACACTGTCCTAAAAGCAACCCGCGCCCGGTTCTAACGTGGTTTGCTTTGTGCTGCAAAGGAGGTGTCCTCAGCTCCCCCCAGCAGCCGCGAATCCAGCCCTGCATCACCCCAGCATCATCCCAGGTGAAACTCCTCCACCTTACGGGTGAGATCAGACTCCCACGTTACGAAATGATTGTGTTGACTGTGTTGAATCTCCTCCAGGGTTTTCCTAGGGCAATTGCCACTTAAAGGAAATAAAGACATAAGCAAAACTCAGCACACTCTTGGAGGCTCCAGGGCGGTACCTCGGCTGCAAAACCACTCCAACACTGCTGGGCCTGATACTGCAATTATTCAGTACTTTCTCTACTGGGACACACAAAACAGTCATTTCTCTTTGATGACCCGCTGCTCATCTGCCATCTCCTCCAGAGCCTGATGAAAAGACCTTGTTTTCCTAGAGAAGACATTTATACTATCTAGTAGTATTTTTGCAAATTAAAGGAAGTTTTTTTATTACATCACAAGTGTACAGGTTGGCAGTTGAAAAAGAAAAGTGGAGCAGTAACGTGTCAGCGAGCAATTAAAGCCCCTCCTGAGCCCGGGGTCACAGAGTGCCCAGCAGACGCTTTGCCTTGCTGTTGTGTGTGAACAGAGAGCGGCCCCCGTACGCAGCCACCGGCTCAGATGCCCACGGCCGCCCCGATCCACGCAGGCGCCTCCGGGTCTCTAAGCTCAGCGGGCACGCGTACAGCACTCAAAGAGTATTTACAGTCTGGAAGTTTAGATAGCTTTTGCCTGACTCTCCGTACCGTATGTTAGACGCTCCATCGCTTCTTCCCCTGCCTGCCTAACCCTGTGTTTCCCGTGATGTCCCTGTCTCCTAGGACGATGACAAGCCTTACTCCTCACGTGCCAGTAAGGTCACCTTGCTGCGAGTTAACTCTGCTGCTTG